TGATTATAAAAAATAATTAATATCATTTTACACGTTTAGTAGTTTATGGTATCGTTGCAAAGTGTATGTTCCGCGTAAATATATATCTCGAATCTTTTTACTATGTCGCAAACTGATCTTTTGATTATGAAACATTAAGACTGACATCCTCAGATAGTTAAACGTTCGATCAAACGATGCACAGATACAGAATTAACAATTTCAAAAGAACGTTAACAGCTCGATCTGAGTCATGAGATAAACGAAAAGTACAAATAAAACTTCATAAATCAGTGTTGACAGTTATTGTTGTCAATTATTAATTCCGAATTTGTGCTGTTGCTTAAATGTTTTACAATCGTCTTAAATCTCTAAGCCCGCCAACGTAATAGGTAAAGATAGCGCCCACAATGGTTAATGTTCGCGATTCCTCCACCGCTCTCACTACCTGAGAAATTTATTTTTAGAGAAATGTAAAAATTTTCATTTCTCCCAAAAGGAATTTTTTGAGCTTTAATCGTGAAAGTTACATAAACGTTTCTTGCAAACAAAAATTCTACAAATTCTTCAAAAAACAACAGTATACTTTTTTAAGCATGTTCAGACAATCTTTGAAACGAATGAGACTTCGGTAACGTTGTCCAGATAATTTTCTTATTCTCAGTTTATTTAGAAAAATGATTAAAGATAAACATTAATTTCACCACGTGTGTGATGGATGATCATTTCATCCATGCGGAAATCTTCTGGAAAAGTTACAATGCGGGTTTCGTTATCAATTGAGGAATTAAAATAGTTTCGCAAAAGATCAGGTGTCGATAACAATCATCAATGATAACGATCGCTTCCTATTCTTTAGAACGCTTGCTGCTACGTTCTGTTGCAGTATTTACTGCAAGATAAAACTGCTTACTTCAGTTGTTATTAGAATATACATATTTTTAGCATACTTTTAGCATATTTTAGCATTTTATAAACGATGAAGCGATCATTGTGAAATTATTTTATTTCCTCAATCGATAACGAAATTTGCTGATACGGCAGCCGAGAAGATACATTTTTTACACATACAAACAATGCCAACAATATCATTTGACACTCGAATAGCGGATCTTTTTGATAAGAATATAATTGAGTGTACTTAAAAGTATGCTTAAATCATTTATAATTTTATTTATTCATTTCTGTCAACATATTTTGTAAGGTATTACTTCTAGATACGTTAATTTTCCTATAGACCTTTATGAAATATATGTGAAAATTTAAATTAACTGTCAAAAATTTAATATTCAAATAACAATTTTTTTTTTTAAAGCCTGTGTCTAAACGAGCCCGCGTCCGTTGTCCGGATGCTAATACTAAACCTACCAAGCCAGTCAAAATGACCGGTTTCACATTTTTTTGTTCTAAAGTTGTTAAAATGTCAAAGATTCTTTCATAGAAAATAATTCAACAATTTTTTAAATCCAAGTATACATTATAGTAAAACTGGCGAAGGCTCTAAATGAATGCAGTCTTTTCGTTATTATAAAGCAATTCGAATTAGTTACTTAAGAGTTCATATAAAAAATTTTAATACATATCGTATTATAAGGATAATCTCTCTTAATTATAGTATTAAGTAAAATAAAAGTTATATATATATATGTATTCGAAATTACAACTAGCTATGTTGTACGATAATTAATCAGTGTCCAATTAAATATATTACAAAGAAACATAACATGTTGTTACACTCTTCATTTTCCCAATAAAGATCACTGAATGCGATCCAGTGTTTCTAAATACTGTTTTATTTAAGATGCAAAAAATATATATTTGTTTAAAAGTATTAAAATAAAAACTGATAAAATTTCTGTGTTGGCATTTTTTGAAAAGTTTCATAAAAGCCTTTGCAAATCATTCAGTACAATCATCTTTTGTCTAAATAAGATCTACAGTGTATAAAAGTTCTATACTTAAAATAAGGGAAAGTCTTGAAAAATGTCTGTAATTTGAAGAGCTCGTCAATTTATATTTAACGCGGTCAAAAATCATACTGCGAGAGCCATCTATGTCCTCTATGAAGAAACAATGTAGTAAAGCCAAATTCACATAACGAACTGTGTACACAAGACTCTAATGCTGTATTCACACATTGTTAGATGCGAATTTCCAATGACACGTTTGTCAAAGTTATCTTCCTATTTTCTAAAATCGAGATTAAGCTTTGCAAAAAATAATAAGTTCCTATACTTATTTGACATACATATAACATAATAGCAGCAACAGAGATTGGAATCGAGTTTTACACTTCGAGGCATTGTAAGTTCACGCGGACACGCAAGAAATGAATAAAATCATTCATTCAAAATTTAAACTTCAAATATTTCGAATTATATACATTATGTTCATGCAATATATGCCATAGAATACAATTAGGGTATACAGGATACAATTAGAAATATACAATTTTGCTAGCGTGTACGTGCTGCTACCTGGTGGCAAGATTAGTAGTATGAAATATACGTTTCGTTTTGTACGGTGATTTTATGCCGTTGCGATTAATACACAAATATTCAATTTCTGATTTATGTAACAGTTACAAATGCCTGAATCTTGTAACTTTTATAAACTATGATGGACAAACATTTCGATTGTTTGATATCGAATCGAAGTTCGCGAATTGTCGTTGTCGCTAGTGGTGTTCATGGGCGTTAACAAAAAATGTGAGAATCAATAATGTGTTCCATCAATGTATAGTTTATGGCTACCTTACCTCGTGACTTATTCATTGATTATTAGTCACATACACATAGAAGAAATCACGAGATTGGTTTCTTCGTTCAACGTTGATCGAAAGGAAGTTGTGCTAAATTAGTGGATTATTGGTATATTATTGTAATTCTTTCTCTTTCTTGACTCTAGTTCGAAAGAACTGAGTCTTCTTAGTAGATCCAATCAATCGAATGTGAAAATCGTTAAGACATAATCAAAATCAAATATGGGATCGCTTTTTCGAAGCGAGGAGATGACCTTGTGTCAACTCTTTTTGCAAAGTGAAGCAGCTTATGCTTGTGTCTCGGAGCTTGGAGAATTAGGACTTGTGCAATTTCGAGATGTAAGTTTCATATTATAATATTAATTATATGTAATTTTTGACATATTATTCTACCACAAAATTTGTTGTGGAATCTTTGTATATAGATACAATGCAAAATTTCAAATTTATGCAAAATATAAAACGAATATGTTAACATTAAACAATTCTTAACTTTTTAACATACGGTTACTTTTGGTACATGTACCAAGTGCAAATTTCAGATTACTTTATAGTCTTATTTCTGTCTGATTATCCAGAGCAAATTAATATGTTTTGACACTTTGCGTAATAACTTCTTATGTACATACATAAAGTGTAACTTTCTTACATTGAAATTTGATAGATTGGAATTGTCTTACAAGGTGCTAAGGTTACAAAAAATGTTTGTACAAAAGTTGTTTGGTAGGACAGGCTCCATCATCTAGTATTAATAGCTTTTTTGTGGGCGGAGAACTAAAAGTAATTTCAAAGTCAACTTAATTTTTTTTTAATGGACTGCAATATATTTTTCTTCAGAATATAACAGCAGACAAATCTAAAAAGTTACCGCTTAATATCATGTTGACATTGTCTGCTGCCTGTTATATTCTGAAGAACAAAATATAGTATTCTGTTAATTAAGTTGAGCATGAAATATCTTTTACTTATCTATCCAACAAAATTATTAATACTAGATGATATAGCCCTATCAAATAACTTTTGTAGGAGCATTTNGTTATATTCTGAAGAACAAAATATAGTATTCTGTTAATTAAGTTGAGCATGAAATATCTTTTACTTATCTATCCAACAAAATTATTAATACTAGATGATATAGCCCTATCAAATAACTTTTGTAGGAGCATTT